AAAGCCAATTAGATTTGCCACCTGCATTTATCTCCCCAGTGCTATTTAATATGTACATGAGGCTGCTGGGGGAAGTCATCAGGGGCTTTGGAGCTTCATGTCACCAATATTCAGATGACACTCAGCTCTATCTCTCCTTCTACTCTTCTGCAGTGGATGCTGTCCTGTCCCTTGAGCGCTGCCTGGACACATGCTGGGATGGATGAAGGGCAACAGACTGAGGCTGAACCAGGATAAGACGGAAATCCTGTGGGTGGGCCCCCCTAGTGTCTGCGGCCTATGAGCCTCCCTTTCTTTTTTTGGGGGGAGGGTTCTCTTGCCGCAAAGGATGGGGTGTGCAACTTGGGTGTACTTCTGGACCCAGCGCTATCAATGGAACCTCAGATAGTGTCTGTGGTCTGCATCACCTATTTCCATCTAAGGCAGATTGCTCAGCGGCATCCCTACCTTGACACTGGATCTCTCACCACACTGGTCTATACACTGGTAGTCTCGAGATTAGACTACTGTAATGGTCTCTACGTGGGGCTGCCCTTGGTGCTCTCGTGGAGACTTCAGCAGGGCCAGAGCTCAGCTGCCAGACTATTAAGTGGGGTGAAAAGGCAATAACATATTTCCCCCACCCTGGCCAACCTGCACTGGTTACCTATTTGTTTCCATGTCAACTTCAAGGTAATGGTGTTAACATACAAAGCCCTAAACAGTTTGGGGCCTCATTATCTGGCAGAAAGCCTCCTTCCAATCAGATATGCCCATCCTGCAAAAACTTGACATGATGGACAGTTTTGACCCTGAGAGAGGCCTGGAAAATGTAACTAGAAACCAGGCCTTCTCAGTGGTAGCCCCACAATTGTGGAATGCTCTCCCACCCAATATTCAGCTAGTGCCTTCATTGGGAACCTTTAAGTGATAATTAAAAACATTTGTATTTAGATAGGCCTTCCTATATAATAGCGCTAAAATAACCAGAATTCGCTAATGTTCATCCTCCGCCATTCTTTATTTTATTTTAATGTTCTATTGATATTGTTTTCATGTGTTGATACTATGTTGATTATTTTATTTTATTGTCTGCTTTTGTATTGTTTGTCTTTATACTTTGTTTTATGGTATTATGTAAACCGCATAGAGTGGCCTGGGTTACCAGATGGGAGGGAAGGAAGGATAGATAGATATACAGACAGACAGATACCCTGTTTCCCTGAAAATAAGCCCTAACCTGAAAATAAGCCCTAATACGATTTTTCAGGATGCTCATAATATAAGCCCCACCCCAAAAATAAAACAGAAAACAGATCTAAATCTATTAAGAAATAACTGACCACCAAGTAGATCAACAAGTAGTTGGCCAGGAATGTTTGTTTAATAATATCAGCAACAAACAATACTACTGAAATTAAGACAACCTAAAATAGCTTGGAGTTACTGTATTTTTGTGTGTGCTGAACCATTACATCCTCAACTTCGTTCATGGGTAAAAGATTTTTTAATTCTAGGAGTCTTGCCTTCTGCACCTGGCTCTGGTGGAGGGCAGCCTTGCAACGCTAGTAAAAATACAATAACCTGAACATTAAGCAATCCTAGTGGGTGATCACTTGTAAAGAGATTGGCAGCAATAATACTCTCAAAAGACAAAAATGGAATAGCTTAGGATATTTTAAGCAGCCACAAAGTGGTTCTGACTATAAACTTGGCTCTGGCTATCCCTGTAGATCCATTAGTTTCCCCACATGCTCTCTGAGAACAAACATCCAGGCAATATCTATTTTTAGGACCATTTTTTCTAAAATTAATATATTGCCCTGCTTGAAAAGTGATGAAAACATCCTAAACATGCTTGTAATTTCACTTTGGATATTTGTGGTTCTTAAGAAGCACAAAGCCTACAATACTCCACATGCTACCATTCTTCCAGAAGCCATTTTAAATTATTGCGGATGGAAACACTTGAATCTAGAGATGTTGATAACTATGGGCACTCATGAGAATGATTCAACAAAACAGTGTATTCCACATTTACAGATGCTCTTCAGCTTAGAAGAAATCAACTCTTCTAGTCCTCTTTACATACATAGCACAGAGCAACTGTAAAGTACTGAAGTGTTTCTGATTTGAACACTCTGCATAGTCTGCCAAACATAAAAGTTGGAAGCTTCAAAATTCTGCGTTAGACAACTACATCCATGCTAAAAGCCAATTAGTTTTGCCACCTGCATTTATTTTGCCTTCATTTGTACATTTTACTAATATTTTATTTTTTTGAAACAAATAAGAGTAGAATATTGAAAACAAATCTGGGTGATGAATGAGTTGTCTTTGAAGACAAGCTTCAAAACCTAGCTCACAGCCTTACTGAATATCACAAGTGAATAATCTACCTTTCGAAGTGGGCGTCGATCCATGAATGCTCATCCCAAATAAAATGTTAGCTTTTAGGGTGAAAACTCTTTGTTGCTCTCGCTTTTAAAATGTGCCTTCGCGAGCACAATCATGGATCCCACTGCATTCCTTCCAACACAGGAAAACAGACTGGGCTGCTTCCAGACAGAAGGCTCTTAATGCTATCAACCCAAGGGCCATGCACAGTTATTGTGTACTTCTCTCCTTCATGGATCTTTTCAAGATGAAAAAATTAAACAAAAAGCAGTGAGAAATGCTGTAACACATAAGCCCATCAGAAGCAGGGATAAGCATAGACATAGCATTCGAACAGCAATATGTATCATTCACATAGAAAAGACCTAAAGTCTCTTGATAATTCAATAATAAATATTCACATCATTTATGTAATTAATACTAATGTTTATCATGATGTCTTGGGATCTTCCCTGTATTACACTTTGTTTCACAGTACTGGACTGACCTATAGTAAGTGTACAGCTACAATACATGGTTTACTATGGGGCCCAGGACAAGTGTATTTGAAGGGGCACCTTCTCTCACATGCTCATTCATTAAATTTTGAACCAAAGACATGGTTCTAGGCGTGGCTGCTACCCTAGAATTCCTTACTGTAGTAACAGGGCACTGGGTGTGCCACAGAAACATACAATATACACCAGAATAGTGAGGAAGTCATATGCCTGAGATGAAAAGGTTACACAGAATCAAGACCCTACAACACAAACTATTTGTAGTTTGTTCCCTCTGCTGCTGGGGCTTCTCCTTTAAAAAAAAAAGAATCCATTTGCTTTGGTTCAGATGGTATGATCATTTGAACAGATTCAGGAAAGAATGGCAGTTGTTGGGGGGAATGGCAGAGGTCAGATGCGTCACACATAGGAGATGTTCTGCCTTTTTGCACAAAGTCACACAGCCCTGGCAATGATGGGGAGCAGTGGCAACCCAACTTCCATATCAACCTATTTAGGGAGGATCCAGATTATAGGCAGATCTTAAAAGTCCTTTGAAATACTGTAAAATTCTTAAAATAATTATGAGTATCCTTGAGAGGAAGCTGGATTTTTGGAAATGAAATGTATTTGCTTTGGTTTGCTTTCTCTCCCCCCCCCATCTTTGTTGACATGAAAAGAGGAAGAAAATTCCACTCTCCCTTTGTTCACAGTTTATTAAATAGTTCTTCTGTAGCTGCACCTCCTGATGGGCTAAATAAGAGCAACATTAACAAACTGCAAACAAGGCTGTTTAGCCTATTTCTTCTTCTGCCTTTGAAGCCGATTAAACTGAAGAGACCCAGGCAAACCTAAATTCCTCAGTGTGAGTAAGTTCACATTTCTTTCACTGTATAGCTGTACCCTGAGAAACAAAGACTGAAATCTTCTTGCGTAAATTTACACCATGTAAACCAGATGATGTCATCATTTGAGGATGGGAATATTTAATTGAAAACCTCCTATTCCCCCACCCCCGCTTGAGGCTCTAAGGCTCCGTAAGGTTTCCTTTTGTTCCGGTGAAGCCTATAGTGTGGGGAGGTTTCATGGCCAAAAATCACCACTGGATTGCTATCACCAGGATCAAGATTGCTATCTGGCAGCAATTTTTCATGCATCAAAGGTTCTGTAGCCCTGGAAATATGATAATAAAATGGAGATTTGAACAGCAGTGTACCAAATGTCAGTTACAGGTTATTTCAGGGCAAGAAGCTAACTTAACTAGTTGGCAAAACATATGTAAAATGTTACTGGCATGGCATGGCGTAAATGATGATGGTCCCACATGCCATGCCAGAAGCAGTAAGTGGAAAGACCAGTTCTGGGGGGAGGGTTCAATTGGTCAGGCCACTTGTGGTGGCAATATTCATATATGTGTCCCTCGAGAGATGAATACAAATATCCCATCTCTAACTGCAATCCAATAGGATTTGTAACCCTGGTAGTATCCATATAAAATGCATGTGTTTCTCTACTAGCACAAAACCCATAAAAGAATACTGTACCACCACTTAAATGGTAAAATTACTCTTTGAAAAACCCTTATGAATATTTTCTGCTGTACTGGTCAGTTCTATTGGAATTTCCTTTTTATCCGCACCTATAGCTGCCAGCTGAGTTTGTGGCTATCAACTTGCTTACCTTAATGAGTCAAAACATTGAGAAAAGTATAAATATACACAGTGAAACTGTTAGCAAAGAAGCAAGAAGTGGGCAGGAGGTAACACCGCAGCAGCTTTAAGGAATTTTCTTTCCCACATTAATTTCCCCAAAATTGTCTTTTCAGTTACCTTCCACTACAAATCAGCCTCACTGAAGCAATTACCTTTAATTATACAGCATACAGTTTTAGTTATCTATCTATCTATCTATCTATCTATCTATCTATCTATCTATCTATCTATCTATCTATCTATCTATCTATCTATCTATCTATCTATCTATCTATCTATCTATCTATCTATCTATCTATCTATCTATCTATCTATCTATCTATCTATCTATCTATCTATCTATCTATCTATCTACCTACCTACCTACCTACCTACCTACCTATCTCTGCTTCCATGATTACATCACTCTTACATATTTGAGATTATAGAATATTACCTTCAGATCACTTCCAGGCAAGGTACCAATTCCATCCTTCCAGTCCATTACACTGAATACGTCAAAGTCTTGCCCACTTCCACTAGAAGCTGGCTCAGTCATGGTGTAGATACTGTACAATAAACAAGACAAGGAATAAGAAAATGTTAACTCACCTCCATGTATTGACATGTCTTCCAATGCACAATACACCACATAATTTTCAATAGTAATTTTACACACCATGTAATATTTATAATACTGTACTGTAATCTTTTGCAAATAATTGTTATGACAAAATGTCACAAAATTGTGAGATGGTTTTGAGTTCTTTAGAACCATTAATGATGCTACATACTAAACATGGGAGAAGTGGAGGAAAAGTCTGGCTCCATGCCAAAGCTTTGTAGTGAGTCTTAAGACACAGTATAAGAGGCATTATCAGACTAATAGTGGAATCAGATTACATTACATAGCCCCAACTGAATTCAGTAGAACTTTACTTCTCATCAGTGTGTAGCAGCATTCTCCAGCCTGGTATTCTCTACATATTAATTTATTTATTTAACTTATATGTTCTCCACTCTACCCAAGGGTCTCTGGGGGCTTATAACAATTAAAATTCAATTAAAATACAATAAAAGCGAAAATAATTAAAATACAATTAAAATTGCCATCAGGACCCACAGTTGATGTTATTTCAATGAAAAGCCTTCTGGAACAGGAAGGTTTTGACCTGGCACCGAAATGTCATCGTTGGCGCCAGACGAATTTCAGTCAGGAGGGCATTCCATAGTCTGGGGGCAGCTGCCGAAAAGGCCCTTTGTCTAAAAGCCATCCCTCTTACCTCCTTAAGGGACAGCTCTTTCAAAAGGGCCCCCTGGCTAGATCTTAACTGCTAGGTAGGCTCATATGGAAGGAGGCGGTCCTTCAGGTATCCAGGGCCCAAGCCGTTTAGGGCTTTATACAGTGGTGCCCCACAAGATGATTGCCTCGCAGGACAAAGAACTCGCTGTACAATTGGGTCCGACGAGGTTTTGGTGCCTCACAAGATGATTTTAACTATGGCCCTGTTTCGCAAGATGAAGCCCCTCCCCGGGAGGCTTCTGAAAGTGGTGTTTTGCTGGGGGGGGGGGAGTGCGTGTGTGCTCTTCTCCACTCCGCCCCCCCCACCTCACAGCTAATCAGCACTGGTCTTAGAAGCTTCCCCAGCAGCTACCAGTAGGTAAACAGGCAGTGGAAATGCACTGGGGAAGCCTCTGAAACCTGTACAGTGTATGGTTTAGAACAAGAATAGGCAAGATGTGACCAG